ATACCTCAAGGTATCAGGCAGGTCATGAACACTGAGATGGTAGGGTACATGGAGAGTCCCACAGAGGCATGGGGGGCTCCCCAGCATGCTCGGCAGCAGGCCCAGAAGTGGACCAGAAGCACTTCCAGTCCACTTCCGGGTCCTCTGGGGAGCACACAGGGGGGCCCCCCACATCCGCCCAGCTCAGTGATTGGTGCCTCCTGGGTCTGGGGGGGTACTTGGGGTCCTCCCATGGCCAACTGCTGAGCTGGGGGGGAGGGCCCAGTGTGCTTCCTGGAAGACCCGGAAGTGGACTGGAACTACTTCCGATTCACTTCCGGGGTCACCGCTGAGCTCATGGTGGGTCCCCCTGTGCTCCTGTGGGACACTCCATCTGCCCCAGCATTGCAGCATTCATGAGCCATGCCTGGTACCTCAAGGTATGTAGAAAAAACATTTAAAGCTGTGTCTGTGTCCGAATAGCTGACTCTCCAAATCAGCATCAAATCTTCAGAATCGGATTTGCCCGAAAGTCACACCACTGAACTGGTGATAGTTACTAGCAAAGCACCTGAAACCAGAGTTTGTTAATGTTTCAGATGAGCTTTGACCAGCAGAAGCCACTTCTGCAGGTGCAGGAAGAATATTTTCTTCATTTGTACTGGTTCATTCACAGCTGAGAAACTGATTGAGAGTTAAAAAAGCAGAAAAGCCTGTTTTTCTCTTCCAGTCTATGAATGAAAAGGGGGCGGAGGATGAGATTTGTGAATTCTAAAAACTTACTTTGATTTAAAAAAAGTTTCTGTATCTAAAACATTAAAGTTTTTTTAGTAAATTTAAAGTGCTGGTTTTGTGTGTTTAATTAAATTCAAGTTTCCATCTTAATGAAGCTTCGTACAAATATGAGCAAAAAGTTAATCATCTAGTGAATAAGAACTATATATTACACCATTATATTGCATACTAAAATGTATCCAAATGTGTTAAGCTAGATAGATAGATAGATAGTGTACCTAGGAAACATATGTACCAAATCTACTGTAAAAACTGTATTTATTTGTAAATTAACATGTTTTAATTATATCAACCAATGAAAAGACACCCTTTTAAAAAAACAAACAAAAATCAATTATTTAAATCAGGCTTTGGGCTTGTTGATTTTAAGTCTTGAGTTAAATCAGTGATTTAAATTGATTTGATTTAAATCGATCCACCCTGTGGGAAACCAGTAGCAAGGAACATCTGGATAGGAGGAAATTTTCTTGTCATTTGTTGATGCTTAAAACATATGTGTCCATTTGCTTTCTGTTCCATCCATTGCATTGGCCTTCAGACCATGTCATAAAGGCCCTCTCTTTTACCAGAATTTTGCCTGTGGGGCTGACTATGAAGGAAGCAGTTTTAAATCCGTATGAGATTTCTACTATTGACATTGCTCCACTAGTTAATGGACATGTTCATCAATTAACAATATGCAGTCTTTGAGAATGTCTCTCTGAGATACCAAGATGGAAGAACTGGGTCAAATAACATAGGAACATGCATTCTTTTCTTGTAAAGAAAAATATGATAGTCTTTTCTATTGAAGGTTGCAAAGGTTAAGAATTTGGGGGTTTTCTGGTGGGATCAAGGGACCCTTTACACATTTTGCTTTCCTATATTCTTCTGTTGGAATTGTAATCTCTGAAATATTTATTTGTGGGCATTTCAATGGTGCTCATTACTGAATGAAATTTCTGTGGTCTGTTATGCAGGAGAGGAGGTTCCTTCTGGTTTTAGAAGCTGTGAATCTCCACCGTATCTGAAGAGTAATGTGATTATAAGAGCTGTTTATGTGAGATTTCCAGCTCAGCCAAAATCAGATGCTGGAAATCTTCCAAGAGTTTCATCTCTTGAGGCTTTTGGCATAAGGAATTTCAAACTAACATTACTACAAAACCTTATGAAAGTCATCCGTCACTACAGCAAAAGAGCATTTTAATTTGAATTAGTTTAGCAGCTGTGTTAATTCCAGTAATTAACTTTGTTTATTTTAAATTGACTTTCTCATTCTATTTGTAAAGAAACTGAAATTCATACTGAGATTTGAAACCAGCCTGAAACTGATGCAAGAATCAACTTTTTTTTCCTTTTTTTTACCATAGAAGTGCACTTGTAGCAAAGTACTAGAGATAGGTCTATTAATCCAAAGCATCCATAATGGGCCAGGTCATGTCTATGATTTCAATGTTGGAAGCTGCAAATAGTTTAAAGTTTAAATTCAGTTCTTTTCTTGTTGGAATTTCATATATTTCTTTTGGTGAAAAAAATGTTTATGCGACGTCCTCCCAATAACTAGTGAAACCTTCTCTCTTAAGACTTTTCCAAAACCCCTCTGAAGTCAAAAGAGATGCTTAAAGATTTGACTGGGCACTAGATGAGGCTCTGAGCAACCATCCAAGGTATAGCAAACATTGCTCAATGAGGAGACATCTGACTACTCTTTAAATTGGCCACTAATAACAGGGGTTTGGCTATAGGATGCAATTTCCTCAATAGATGTATATAATAAGAGTGAATAGCAGTTTATGAAGTAATTCTGTGAAATTTCTAGCAGTTTGCATGTCCTGGTCAGCAACATTTTTAACTGCCAGTATTTAATTGCGCTGTAAGCAGTGAGTGCGCAAATTGTCCAAGTGTGCCGGGCCTACCCACAACTCTCGAGATCTCCTAAGGCTTCAGGTGGGGATGTGCAGCAGGTTGCTTGGTGTAGATAGTAAAACTTCCAAATCCCCTTTGTGCTGCAGCAGGAAATTCTACTCTGGTCATTAGCTGCAGTCTGGGGAAGAAGCCACATGATTCAGGCTTTGTCCCAAGTTACCTGTATAATGCCAGAAATTTGTGGAATGTCATGATATCATACAGTTAGGGCAGTCACAGGTGAAGGCTTCATGTCATTTCAGATCTGCACAACTGTGATTTGTTTCTAGCAGGCCTGGCAAGCAGGGGTGTGGAGATAAAAGCCAGGTGGGAGGATGGGAGGGAAAGTTGTAGCTGGGAAGCAACTTCCTGGGAGCTCTCTGGTTTTGCTGAAACTGATGCAGTAGTTGCTTGCTCTCAGCACAGAGCTGCAGCTCAGCTAGACCAGAGAGCCCCAGGAAAGAGCATTTCCCCAGGGCTCTCTGGTTTTGGTGAAATGGAGCTTCCTAGCAGTGAGACCATGTTGCTAGATGAAGCAGCTTCCCCAGCTCCATGGTCTCTCTGCAGTTAAGCCACTCAGTGCAGTGGCTCTCAGGAGGAAGCAGAGGTGGGGCTGAAGGGACCACTAGAGCTTTGGAGGGTAGAAACAGGTAGAGCGCCTGGGAGCTGTGCATCCTGGGATGCTGAAATAAAGAATTTTACTTCTCTTTACCACTCAAACAATACCCTGGAAGGACATGGGTAAAACTTTTCCAAGATAAACCTCTTTCTGAGTGGCTTATCTTTAAAATATTTAGAGCAGGGGTGGGCAAAATATGGCCTGTGGGCCACATCCCGCCCACCAACAGATTTTATCCAGCTTGCAGTGGGTCCTTTGTCCCTGCCCGGCCCCAGTCATGATGCATGCAACTGATGGGGCTAGGATTGGGATTTTGGGGAAGTGACAGTGCACCCTCTGGGTATGCGGTGGGGCTGGGTGGTGTGGTGGCTGGATTCACTTCCTGGCAGCCCCTGCAGCAGCAGCTCCTTCCAGCTGTCACTGCCAGTCTCCACCACTGTTCCCCACTGCCCAGGCACCCCAGCCCATCCACCCCGCACCCACTGCTGACGGCGCTGGATGCAGTGGGCAGGTGGCATCTCTGTGGAGACAAGGCCGGGACTTGTGTGGAAAGGGTGTGCTCGGCTGGGTGGGATGTGGCCATGGGTGGGCAGGGAGCAGCATCTGGGAGCAGGATGGGCAGGTGGGGCCAGGGCTGGGATCGGGCACAAGCACTCCCTGCCCATGTGGGTCCTGGGCCAGTGTCCATGGAGACCCCAGAGTCACCAGGCAGTAACAGCACAGGGCCGAGCCCCAGGGCAGAGTCACTTAGGGAGTTTTGGTGAGCAGTTGCAAGCTGTGGGGTGGGGGAAGGACTGGGGTGCTGACCCGGCCTGTGACAGCTCATCAAAAAACCCTAAGTGGCCCCTTAGCCCAAATAGTTGCCCGCCCCTGATTTAGAGGGTACTTTATGACAGTTTAACACCCTTGAATGGGCAAATGTTCTCTCAGCCTAAGCGCCTTTATGCTGGTTTGAAAGGTAACCTGTGACAGCCCTAAATCTTGTCAAGAAGTGTATGGAGATTGGGCTATCTCATCTCCTGGCAATGGGTTCAACTAGCCGTCCAGGCCTCCTACCACAGGGCTTGAGTCTGTCAGGTGTTTAAAGCATATGTTTAGATGTAAGCATGTGAGTAGTCTTACTGACCACAATGGAATTGTTCACATACTTAAAAGTAGCAATGTATTTAAGTGATATGCTACATTAAAACCAAGTGCCTTGCATAATCAAGTCCTTACTTAGGCATAGGGTTGAGGGAGTGGGTGATAGTATTTTGCCCTTAAAGACAGGTACTCTGGCCAGCCCAGGAAGTACATATTTTGTCCAGCACAGGCTCTTCATATAAATCCATTATATGAAGCTGTTAAAATGGAATTTATAGCTGGTTTCTTACAGTGTACATGAAAAATGTAAAACAGGGCATTACTGTACTTTGTGTCAGAAAAATTATTGCTATAAAGATATATTTTCATCAGCTATGAAATTATACACAGTTCAACTGAATCTTCTCAATGTCACTGAAGAGACTACATAACTGCAGAAATCATTTTTCTAATCCTCCTTGGGAGCAATTAGCTAAACCGCTTAATGGACAAGATTAGTCCTGATCTATACTTCTTGTAACTTATGCAAATGTAGATGTGTTCTAAAAGAAACAGTTTAACTTGGTTTTAGTATTATTTCTACTGTACATATGTAATGTTAAAACTCTATTTTAAGGGAAAGGAAACAAAATGTAGCTGCTCTTTTTTATTTTACCATTTACCTAAAGAAAATTGTTTATCAAGGCAAAATTTTACGATGTAACATCACAGAAAAAGACCCAAGAGGGCAGAGAGTAGTTTACCATGTATAACTCTGTATAAGATTAATGTAAACAATAATCAGCCTCTTCTGTTCATTCCAAGCTCTGTTTGGAGTTCAATCTTAATTTACAATACGACAAAATAGAAATATTTTCTTTTTCAGGACTGATTTGTTTCTTCTGATGAAGGTAGACTGTCAAGTGCCCCAACCTCTGCAAAAGGGAAAGAAAAAAGAATTCAGTAATGTTTTAACAACAAAGTATCTGAGTGCAAAGTTTAATATTAGTAGCTGAGTCCTAAAAATTATCATGATAAAGACTAGTCTTTTTTTATTATTATTACTTTGCTTCCCTCAACCGTATAAAAGGTAATATATTCACATATTAAATGGTTTAATTCCTTGGTATTTTTTTTCTTTTGAGTATTAATATCTTCTTGTTAGACTTAGCACTGTTTTGAAACTATTCCATGCCATTTACCACAACCATGAAGTTTTGATTCACATTGCTGAATGGTAGCATAACTAGGAACAGGCAAGTGGGGAATCAGACCTGGGTATTGTCTTAGACAGGACATCTTGGCAGTCACCAAGAGCACAAAACTTATACCTCTGTTGCTGAATACCCAAAGCAAAAGATTTTATACTGTTTGATTAAGACGCAGACTCTGCAGCTGATTGTGTTTAGACAGACCCAGGAACATGCTTAGAGTCAATCTTGGAATGGAGTTCTAAAAGGCTACTTATCAATAGCTCAAAAAAACCCAACCCCCCTTATGCAATTATAATTTAACTTATGTCTTTCATCTTACAGATGTCAATGTATGACATTTTTTCTCCCTCCAAAATAGAGGGGATATTATATTATATATTAAAACTAATATTGGACTCAAAGTGTTTTTTTCAGAATTGAAATATCAATTTGATGTATGAGTTCATATCTAGGTATATCCAGTAGCCATTGTGTAATGAGAATGCAGTGTCATTTGTTAATATTTTGTGCTTTTTGTTGCCTTCAGATACTCGTGTTGGATCACAGCAAAGGCATTTGCCATGATGCAATGGATCTTTTTTTCATGCACTCTCAGGTTAGGCTGTACCAGCACAGTCTGCTGTGAGTGAGGGGGCATGTTGATTTGTGCTGACCTGTGAGCAGACCAGGAAATTGTTGCTCAGAGAATCACAGTTCAATCCCTTGTTGCTCACTTGCCTCATGAACAAAGTCTGTCTGTGCCCTTTACCAGATGTGCCAGCCCAACTGCACTGACCTTCACACTAAGGGATGCAGAATCAAGCCTTACCCTATTCCTACCACAAGGCTGCTCTGCCAGCAGTGATTGGATGTGATGTAGGTTGCTCACAAAGCAGAGTACAGAAGTATTTTATACTCTTTATACCTAGCACAGCCACACTAAACAATTGACAGTCTTATCAATGATAAACAGATTGGGTCAAATTCCAGTAGCGTAACTAGAGCAGAGTGATTGCAGCAGTAGTTTTGGGAGCCAACTTGAAGAGGCAGGGACAGAAAGACAGCAGCTGCTGCTACAGCCACACAATTGTGCCAGTGGCATGACAGCAGCTGAGACTGCTGCTGCCCCGATGTGTTCCACAGCCCCAGATGCCTAGCTGCCTTGTTATACTTCTGCCAGATCCTATTTCACCTATTAAACTTCTAAGTGGATTTAGGTGCTTAAGCCTTATACTATTCCACTGTGCTCAAGTCCCTGAAAAAACTATTAACACAAAAGCTGAGCTAAATCTGAATACCTTAATTCATGTACTGGAAGCAGTATAACTCTGTTAGCATGGTGCTCATCTAGGGCTAATATATCCTTCTCAGCACAGCTATTTAGACCTAGCAGATTGTGGTGCTACCACAATACTACAGTACTTAGGCTACCTTTCTCAGAACAAGCTTGGATTTCCCTACCTGACACTGCATCGTGTCATCTCTACATGACACTGCATCATGTCATGTAGAGATACTCAGTATGATCTTACTGATGCCAGTTTCATATCATGGTAACTCTATAGACTTCCACGGAATTATTCCTTATTTACAATTCTGATTTACAATCTTGTATCTTAATCAATTCCATGATAATTTAAACAATGGGTATTATCTCTCATATAAGAAACTTGCATTCTCCTTGAATCACCATAACTTGAAACTGTCAATTTAAGAGCTCAGTAACATGCCATAAGTTGGCTTTTTTTATTCCCCATGTGGTAGTTTTGTAGGTACAGGAAGTTTATCCAAATAGTTCTGGTTAGCTGAAGAATTTGAAAGGTTTTCACTAATCATGCATGGGGGTAGGAAGTTGAGAACTTTGCCATGCCTTGAAAGAATCTCTTATAAAAGCCAGAGTACCCAGATCAGTTATCTGGATACAAATTTGACATCTCAGATGAAGACTATAGTGCTGTCACACATGGTTGTCCCCACTCTATGTAACCCTTGGCATGTTGCTAGCTCAAATTCACTGTATTGCACTGGTATATGAACATTGGCTGTCCAAGAATAATTCACGATATCCTTGACCTTCTATTTTACATTTAGGAGAGATCCAAATAGTCCTTTGGAGGGAGAATTACAACCCTCTGGCCAGAGGAAACTTGTAGTTTCCTTCATCATTTGTTTGAGGAAGAGGATCCATACTCCCAAACAGCACATAGATGTCTTGAAATCAATATATTCCCCCAGACCATCTGTGCTTCCAGCTCTTTGTGTTGTAGCTGTTGTCCTCAACCTTCACTTTGTAGAGATCTGCTAAGATCGAGTGGCATTAGAAACTGGTGATTTTCATGTGAAGGTGGGTAGGATCTTCAACAATCAGTATTCATGAAAAATGATTACCCTTTTACTGTAGATTTGGCACATTTCCCCAGCACACATCATTTAGTCAACAGGATAGAAAATCTCTGAAGGTTTGTGAGACTAGCTAAGGTTAGAACATTGTGTGAATGTTTAAAATTATGATGTTAGATCCATATCCATGAGATGTATCAAATGAACAAAATGTTGAATGGAAAATGCTCAACAAAGAGATTAAGCATAATAACTCTGCAGGAATTGGGAGGGTGGAAGTTGGGATGGAAACCACTTTCTCCCAATGTCAACTGTGACAATGCAGACCTCCAGAAACCTGTCATTCACTCCGCAAGCAGCCTCACTGATGTTACTGGTCTATCCTCTGGCCAGGTAGTGCACAATATTAAATTATCAGATTTTGTTTCCAGTTTTGTCTTATACGTTTTCATTAAAATGCCTTAAATTATTTGTTTTAATCTACATTAATTCTTTGGTATGCAGTATAACTAGGACTGTCTGAAAAGCCCTGTTATCTAAGACATGACTACATCTTGCCTTAAGCTCTGCTTGGTACATAGAACTTTTCCTCAATTTTCTCAGACTTTCACTATGTAACTTTCAGTTTGGTCAATGAATTTCAGATAATTAAGGGCATGCTGTACTGGAAAATAAAATGATTGAGAAGGGTAGGATTCAAAATCTGCTTTTGAGTTAAGAATTGCAGCTGAGTTATTCTCAGTCCTTATAAAAATATTAATGCTTGTACTTCTTTAACTATACTATTCACAGACACTGTCTCTGGCACAAAATGAAAAATAAATGAGCATCATATCAACATGTTAATATCTACAGTATTGTCAGCAGTGAGAATTTCTGAGCAAATGCAGGACATTTTTGAAAATGATGCCAAAAGTGCCCAGTTTCCTTTATAAGACTACTGAGAACATATTTTATACAAGACAATTTATTAAACATAAATAGTAATATAATGCCCCATGTTATCATTTCAGGGTATGAATTTTTAAAAAAGTAAACCAGGGTATGCAGTGCGTTTTCAAATAGCAATAACATAATCGCTATGAAACAGTCAATAAATCATTGTACACAAAGGTAGGGATTTATGAAAAAGCATGCGACAGAATTAGATACTTTTGAAACAGAGTTAGTTATAATGCTTGCAATGACAATACATGCCTTCAATCTTCCTGTTATTTTTCTGTCTTAATATAGATCACTTTCTAAACCTTTTGAAGATAGTACATTTTCAAGGAACTATTTTTCGTTGGTTGACATTTGAAAAAAATGTATTTAAGTGAATCAATTTACTTTGTCTGAAGATTTCTGAAAAATGTATGAAGACCTTCAAAATCATAATACAGGTTTAGCAATAACCTAGATATCCCTGTTGCTGGATGTTATAGTAAGGTAATTTTCCTTAGCTACCTACAGGCACAATCCTGCAGATCCTGTATAGGCACAATTCTGTGGGATTTCATAGTGTTTTGCTTTCAAAATTGAGTCCTGTGTGTTGCTACATGGATGACTGATTATAAAATTTTAGGGTACGTCTTCATTGCAGTGTTCCCCTCTGTCAATAACACAAATGTTTCTCAGGTTCTACTGATTATTCAAGACATGTTAAGTGTAAAACAATCTGATAATGAAATTTTCTCAGACATAATCTTTTTAACTCATTTAAAGGTAGTTCAAACAATTTTAGCAGTTCTTGTTTTTACTGAAGTAGTGCCTAAAGTCTCCAAACAATATTTGGCCCTATTGTGCTAAGCACGGTATGCATATGTAATAAAAAGATGGTCTCCTACACTAAGGAGTATACAATCTAGTGTCTAGAATATAGAGACTAGATCCTCTACTACTTACTCATTTATACCTTCCTACACATCTATGGTGCTACTTGCATGCTTAAACAAAGTTAAGGGCATGTGTTTAAGTGTTTGTGGGATCAGAGTCTAAATGCATCTTTTCCAGATCTCAAGCAATTATTCAGTGATATAATATCAGAATATTTTGTTCTAGGGGTTTTATAGCAAATAACATCAAAGCCATTCTTCTCTCAAGATACTGCACAATCAGCAATTGTAAATTCAAGCACGCTCTTGTAGCTCTTATCCAAAGTTTGGTCCAGGTAAGAATCAAATCTTCAATGGCTGTGGGAAATACAGCTGTTTTTTAAAATAATTTTAGAAGAGCTTTACTAACCTTTAAGATGCAAGTAATTCAAAAATTCAATTACTGTGCGTACAATGTTGTCATCGGCCAGAGATCTTCCAAGAACACCTAAAAGCATTTATTGAGTATTATTCAACATGTAGACAATACAAACATTTATTCATTCACGCACTTTTATGATAGAAGGTGAAAACATTTGGAAAAACCTGTGTGTGAAACAACATTTCGTTTATAGAAGTTTAATGCAAAATCTGAGGCCTGGATTTTCTCCTATACCAAGTTACATTCAGGGCGAGAGTGGAACAGCCATCCAGGGAGCTGATAACAGCTCCCTGGTTCTAGAGGTGCTCCAGCTTCTTTAAACTAGGAATGGATATAACTCACAACTGAGTATGGTCTGTAAGGGGCCATATGTCAGCTAAGCTCTGCCCCACCTCTGCCTCCTTATGTCCCTCTAAGGTGGCATCAAGGAGAAAGGCTGGAGTAGGAACCCATCCACCACGTATTAATCAGAAGTTTAAAAATTCCCCTCTAGCGTAAGTATTCTAAGTTAGCCAGGTACAGCCAGATCATGCCCCTCTCATACCACTTAAGCAGAGTAAAGAGAACAGAACTGGAGGCTAAGAAACTAGCCCTTACACTTGATTAATGGCTCAAAGAAATGTTGCTTCATATGAACCTAGAAGAACGTGCTTCTCTTGTACACTTGTATAAGGCATCTCTCACTGCCTTTAGATCCCCCAAATTCCTAAACTCCCTGTAAACTCTGCTGTACTCTGGCTGAGTCTTTGCAGTGGGCAGAATATTGGGGGTGGGTTCTGTTGCATAATAGGTTTTGGAGTAAATGAGAGTAGTTCTGTATGCATTTCCTATTTTAACTCTTTTGACTTTTTTTTTTCTTCAGCATGCCTTTTTATGATGCTTTTTATGATGTTAATGCATTGTTAAGATGGCAATAATTCATTCCATATATTTAAACAGTAACATTATTGTTAATCATTCAGCAGAAGAGCTGGAAGTTCAAGTTCTTTATGAACTGAGCTGTACATAAATATTTCTCTTCGGGGACTTGGACGTATTGTAGAGATAGGCCTCTGCATAGGTTACTATAGAATTTCTGCTGTATAACCAGTTCTTTGCAGACTCTGGTATTGAAATTGCTGTTGTGCTCTTAGAATTTACAAGCTTTTCTGGTTTTACTTGTAGGTTCTTTGAACTAAAGCTACGTGGCTTACAGGGCTTACAAGTTCCTCCAAGTTTGCTGGGAAGCTTGTAAATCCTACAGCATCCATCATGTTCCCATCTTCTGAGACCTCATCAGCAACTCGGATTCCCAAAGCAACCCACTTATTAAAAAAATATTCCTATATATTAATTTTCCTTGAATGATAATTACCATTACCATTTTTACATTACATAGCCATTTACATTTTACATGACCTTTTTAAAACAACTTTATAAGAAACCTCAAGATTTTTCAAGTGCAAATAATTACTCCCCTCCCCCCCTCCCTCCTAAATACCTAATTCTTTTCAACTTAAAGGTAACAAGAAGTCTCCTTTGGATAGGGACTGCCTGAGAAGTTTCACATACAAGGAGATTTTTCAGGGTTAATGGGAGAAGTGTGTCTAAGTGAGACTTGTAACAGAAACTGAGCTACAATTGTAAGCCCCGCATCCTGCAAGGTTCTAAGTACCATACACTAGTTGGAGGCCAATGTAATCAAGGGCAGTCAGCAAAACTTTGGAAGATTGGGTTCCAACAAACTCTGTTTACAATTCTGTAACGTAATTTACGGACTATGTATTTACAAAGGAACTGTCTGCATCTGAAAAAGATACTATGTTAGTGAGAAATACTACTAGATCAGAATTCATTAAGGTCTAGATCCTATTCCGTCTATGAAGTGCAGAAATGGACTTGGGAGCCCAAATGCAATTCTACTTCACCCTGCTCAAGTCCTTGAAAAATTGATTAATGCATCTATTTTGCAATCTTTCCCCTAAGATTGAGTCACAAAAAGTAAAGGGGAGGAGGACATGCTCATCTTTTTTACTAATACTTTTTCAGCGGCCTAAGCAAAGTGGAATAGAATCACACTTAGAATTGGTCCCTAACTGTCCTTTTCACCCATTATTTCAAAGCAGCATTGCAAGATGCCACTGTTTGAGGAAACATTCTGCCTACTATTGTTGCTGTCTATCATAACTCATTTGTTCCTGGGTAATCTTCCTGAGAATTTTACAGTTTATGGGAGGCCTATCATTGTGTTCCTTCCTCCTCATTTATTGGGTAAGTGTGTGTTATCAGAATATAAAAGGGCATTTCTTGAATTTTGGACAGCAATTTAATCAAACAGATAAATCTGTACCGTACTGTCCATGTTTGAGTTAAACTGTAACCTCCTTGGGGCTTGGACTGTACAGTATTGAGTACAGCAATATTCCTCAAACAATAATCAGCCTTCCCAGGGTTGGAGTAAGAAATGGATGTCATATTGTAACACTGTATTTCACAACAGAAGATTAGATTATGCTCAGAGTGTTCTTTCTATGTGTGTATCACCCCTCGCTATGCAGAAAAAGCAATCATCTCCTATAAAAGTCTTCCTGCCTTTGTGGACACCTGGTGGGTTATCTGTGTGTCGAGTGATCTGGGCAGAAGAGGGAAGCAAGCAATGTTTTGGCTGGAGAAAGAGTAGATGAACTGACACTAAGTTCAAAGGGGAACAGAGTCTGTTTTACTTTTCAAAATATACCCACTCCACTCTGTCATGTGGAATCTCAGCTGTTTTAAGGGAGGCCTCAGTCCTGCTGCCAATGAGCAGGACTGTCACATTGATAACCCTGGGTAGGGGTGGAGTGGGGGCATAAGCAGATCCAGGCTTTTGTAAAGGGTGGTGTGGAAGAAGTGAAGGGTGCTGCAGGGGTGGCTATATCCCCTGCTCCCAGTCTCCCCTCCCCACCTGGCTGGGCAGACCATGCTATGAAAGCAGCAGCTGGGGACTATTTTAAAGTTCTTGAATCAGGTAATAATACCCATCCCACCTCTCAGCCTCTCCTCCTCCCTTCCCTCCTCTCCCCACTTGTTGTTGCTACAGTCCCAGGCTAACCTGCAGGCAGAGGTGGGGAGGGAAAATCTCTAGAGCAACTTCTGTCCCATTTCAGCCAGGCTGCATGGAGAGCCAGACTCAGCCAGAAACAGCAGCAACAGCAGTGGTAGGTGGGTTCCCCTGTGCCTGCTCCTGAGCTGGTGGGGAACACCTTGGGGAGCTGGGCTAGGAGAGGGAACCTGCTGCCACAGCCATTGTCCCCAAGTAAGCATGGCTCTCTGTGCCCCTGCTGGAGTAGGCCAGGAGCAGCTCTGGAGCTCCCAGTGCCCCAGTAGAAGCAGTGGATGGGGGAAGCTGGGGAATGAGAGGGGAAGGGAGGTGCCGCTGAGCCCAAGGGGAAGGGTTGGGGGGACTGCTTTGTGGACTTATGGAAAGTTACCAGCTGCTGTTCCTGTGGTGTGGTGTGGTCTGAAAAAGGTGTGACCACACTACCACATCCCTTCTGGATCTGCCTGGGGGCTAGGGGTGGGGTGGAGAGGGAATGGCTAGCAAGTCCTTCAAAACTGACTCAATGGAATAGAGAGAAAACTCTAAAATTATCAGTTTTCTACTCTCATATGACAGTATTACCATGATGGTCATAAAATTGTAATTCTATAAAAGCAAGGACTACCTGCTGCTAAGATGTAATTCTGTTTAATTATGAATGTTCAAGCAGGAGTTGGTTGTTAAAATTGTTAAAAGCAGTTTCTACCCAGCTGAACACCTGGTATATTTTAGCACCCCTATCATGATACAGCTTTTTACATTTTTTCTTATGAAGAATGGATATAGAAAAACCCATGCAAGTTCAGATCCCCTACTCTACCTTAGGTTTCTACCTGTGATCCTATTCCAACCTGCTCAAGTCCCTGAATAGCATTTAATGCACAAGAAGTTGGGTTGGTTCTTTGTTTTCTTGCTGCTTTGTGTGACTTAGTATTTGCCTTAAGGCTAGGATGGTGATGACATGTTAGTCTTACTCTTAAGGCTAGGATGATGATGACAACGTGTTAAACAAAAGGTGTGTTAATATTTTTTCAGGGACTTGAGCAGGGTGGAATAGGGTTGAATTTAAGGCACCTAGATCCACCTAGGCACTCAATAGGTGGAATAGTATCTGTCCCAAAGTGTTTTTAAAAATTCCAAATAGATGGCAAATAACAAAACAAGTTTGCTTCTTTGGAAGCTCAACTGCCATTAGCAAAATTAGCTTTTGTTTGGGGATGTAATCCCAGTATATTTCAGTTCAACAAATAAACATCACCTATACCAAGAAAGGAAGCGAGCTTTATATTTTAGAAAATAACATAATTGAACAAGGAAACATTTTTACATGCCCAGCTACATAAATGGAGTAAAATTAAATGTTTTAGGATGTAAATTTAGTTCAATTTAGAAAACTTGCTTTTAGTTTAAAGTAGAAATGGATTTCACAGTAGAAGCCCAGAGTCACTGACAGGGAGGACACTCTACTAGGACCTGATCCTGAGAAGCACTGAACACTCACAGTTCATATTGGCCTCAGAATTTTGAGTTATGATTCTAATTCAAATATCACTGGATAAAAGGGAAGGATTCCCATTCTTTCACTGATCTTTGTTTCAGACCCTAAAGTCCTGCAATGGAAATAACTGATCTTACTTACACATATGGAACATACTGTATACCTGCATTTTGAGTTTCTAAGATGCTGAAAATCCATTTTATAATGAGCGGTTTCACACATTTTCCAACGTTTCAATTTTAAATTGCTATTATGAAAATAATTCAGCGGTTTCAATAATAGCCTACTATACAATCCTGTCTCCCCAAAAATCTGTCCCTTACTGATTATACCTCTTGGCTGATCTAATGAAACTTACAGTTTCTAAGATGGTTTGAAGTATGTTTTGAATATTACAGTATATAGAAAAAGGTAAGTTTTATCTAAAGTAACATAGTTTCTCTGATGGTTACTCTGCAGTTCAGACTATGACCATGCAAAAAACACACATCCCTGGAGTATCTGGGCAACATTTTGCTTTCCTTTCTCTTATATGTAGGGAAGGATTCCATTTGAAGACAATTAAACATATACCTAGGGAACAGAGTAACTCGTATACAAAAAACAAAATGTTATATATATAAGCAAATGAGCTCTTGTAGCAATCATAATTTTACTACCTGATTTCATATCCTCTTCAGGCTGTATTTCACGTTTACCAGCTAGCCCATGTTTTTCATTAAAAGATCTGTGGTTATCTATTGCATCTGTTAAATTAGAAATCAGAAGAGCTAATTTAGTTTTCAGCCATGTGCTTTGATTTTCATGGATTCTACTGAGCTAGCTCAGAAGATTTCAAAGAAGGAACACGATGGACATTTTGATGGAATGATGCATAGTTAGTGAAACAAATGATTAATTTTCTATAACATGTTACTGCTAAATTAAAGAAGCCATCTTCAAATATATATTCTAGCATATATCCAGTATGGACCCAGTCTTGTACTACTTGCACACCAACATTTTTACTGAATTCAGCAAGAAGCTTGGGTGTACAGGAAACACAGGGCTGGAGAATTCATGTATAATTTAGGAATGTGGTGATGCTACTCTTTTTTCCTCTCTTTTTTACAGCTAAATTACCATTTAATTTATTTAAAAGTAAACTTCAGTTAGTTTACATGAATAACCTCCAAAAACTATCTTACATTCCCCAGGTGCCTCTTCTCTCCCCCTTGCAATGGGCATTTCCTTTATCAGTAAAAGCTGATCAATACGACCTGCAACAGAGGATGATGCCTATTATCCAGTCTTAGAGAAATGGCACTTGGTAGGTATATCTCCCAGTACAGGAATGGAACACACATCTGTCAACACAGTCTATTCTTCTTTGAGGAACATATACTTACAAACATTTACAAAAATAATAAAAACATTAAAGATGCAAGAAGTTAGTTATCCTCAAAAGATAGTTACAAAAAGTAGATAATAAATAAAGAATATACATTCATGGTCTTTATATGAATAGTAGTATTAAGTATCTCATATATTAATAATAGATCAGAGAGACTGAAAATGGGCAACCATGGTCAATAGATATGCTTTTAACATGAAAGTAGTAAAGAATATTAACTTCTGTATGCTCTGTGTCTTGCTTACTATTTTGAAAAGCTTGTGCAATAATGGCTATTTTTAAACTAGTTAAAACAATTTTAAAGGAAGTCTATATAGGATATCTTAACTGTGAATTTCCATTTTTTTTAAACCTGAATTGTGATATATTGGTTGACATTGGTATATGTTTTTCTTTTAATTACAGCATGGTATTAGGTATTTTCCCTGTGTAAGCTCCTGATACTTATTTACAGTCTCAGGGAGTTTTTATTATTTGTCCAGAATTAGGATATAATTCAAGACAATGCACATGAAGGCATTTTGATGTAGACCTATGGAGAAATCTTGGCAACACTTTGGGAACTAGATTTAATTCTTTGTTTCAACTTCTCAACTGGTCACCAAAATGCCATAAATACTATACAACTCATGATCCCTCATTTTATAATAGAGGTCAACATACAGGTTTAGAATAACCAGATATTTGCTGTCTGAGAATAACTACTCACTAGTAGTAAGGATGTCACGTGTAATTCTGTATAATGTAATACCTCTTTACATGCCAATGCTTTTGAAGACAAAAGAAACTTCTAAAACTACTTTTTTCCGTGCCAGGCATGAAATACAGATTCTCCCAACAGACTCTCTTCATCCTCCCGCGGTAGCTGAAGTCTGGCTACTGCAGTAGTTTTTGTTTAAGCCAGAATTATTGCAGAGGTCAGAATAGTGAGTAAAACACTAGTAAATAGTATGCTGCAAGTGACAATTTTAAAGCAACATAGAAAATAGAGTGTTTGACTTACGTGGCCCAAGTAGGTAACCAGCACTATTCAAAGTCCAGCCCCTCTTTTCTTTTGCCTTATAGAAGGGAAAAGCACAGGTAGGTTATGAATTGCATGTATTACACAATGCTTCTGAAAGAAAGTAGCCCCTGTGTGCAAATGGGTTTCTTAGGGTTTGTAAGGAGATTCACTTTTTTAAACACACACAAGCATTAGGAAAGCAATCTCCCTGGGACAAATCCTCACTGAACTCAGTTGGAGGTTTGCCAATGATGTCAGTGGAACTCCCAATTCCATCCTACGCTGATGAAAGTGCAGGTCTCACACATCACGGGGAATATGATTAACTGTTTAAATCCAAATAGATGTGGTGCTCCCCAAATCTGCTTTACTGAATAAGTATAGCTATTTCCCTCTTCACACAGTTATATGGATTTGCGGAATTTATCATCACACCTCGGCTGCTTGTTTTGGAAATTTCTTAGTATCAAACCAACCCAGTCCTTGCTTTTTTCGGCATGAGTTTGGGGCATTTGTTGCATTTTGCTCTGTAAAACCACAATAAGCCTCATTTTCTTTAGCTCTGCTTCAGGGAGCCGAAGAGAATGATACTCCCTGTATATATGTATTTCCTGTCCAAACTGATCTGGGGCGCTTTGCTTTACTACACCTAATGAGAGCAGATGTGTGTGCAGTGTTTGCCGCTACTTGCCAGGTGATATGCAGAGGGTGCATCTACACAAGATGCTTACTGCGCATTAGCCTAATAACATGGCACAGTAGCATGCCATGGCAAAAACCATGCTAACAGCCTATTGCACAGTGTTATTAGGCTAATGCGCAGTAAGTGTCACTAAGTAACCATGTGCAGGTGCCACTGCACAGTAACTTTAGGTTAGTATTGTATTAAGGAAGTGCTAAACTAAATGTGCAGTATTTAAGGCCCGTTCGTGAGTGCGTAGATGCACCCAGCCTGAACAGAACCACCCTGAGATGAAGGTGATACTTACTGATAGAACCAGCCCGAATGTTTCTGACAAGGTGGCGCAAAGGATGAGAGAAAGAAACAGGAGACCAGTGCACTTCTGCATCTGAAAGGAGATGGGGGAACATCTCAGGGTTACCAGCTCTACCTTGGGGGGGGGGGTGCTGACTCTGCTTGAGATTCCCAGAGGGACCTTCCAGCTCAGCAAGCATCCAGATGGGAAACTTTTTTGGTTTTGGCAGGCGGGGGAAGGCTGTGCATGCGGGATGTCCCCCTCCACACTGGCAAGTACAAGCAGGAGCATCCCCAGGGCCGGGGGCTGGACGAGCTCAAGACCAGTCCTCCTCCCCACCTCTACTGGGATGCGCAAAGGACGGCACCCAGAGTCCTGGGAGTCGAATGCCCCGGGGAGGGCTGAAGCGAGGGGCAGTACCTTGGTGGCGGGGGTGCGGGTCCGTGCAGGGCGCTGGGCTCGGTGCTGGCTGGCCGGGGCAGG